GTGTATGCAATCGTATATGCATTTAAGTACTTAAGTTGCAGTACATAATTAAGACCACAGTAGAGATAACAATCAGTAGAGACAGCTCGTGTCGGCGCCTTTGTTCTTTCTGACCCGAATTTTAAGCCGTAATGGGTGGTCGTTGCCTAAACTATTCCTAGATGTCGCCACCCAATTTAAAAAGTATCACTTCATTTACAATTTCAAAAATTGATTCGTGTACGCAATTTATTGCAAACTGTGTAGTTTTAAGGTGGTCTTCTGCATCGTGGTGACTTATTCTTCTTCATCAAAACGACGACCTACATTTAACTTTAAAATTTCTTCCATATTAGGCTCGCAGTTTTGATTACCTGTGTTCGTTTCATCAAAATAATCTTGTATGATTAATTTTCTAAAAGCCATTTGAAATTTATTAGATGTGGGGTTAATAGAATTTCCATTTTGTTTCCTAATCCATCCAAAACAGTTTTCTAGTGCGTCTTATTAATATATAGTCAAACCCATTTTACCTAACAACTTAACCCGTAAGCGTAATATCATATAAAGTAAAATTTTTATTAAAAAAAAATTATTACAAAAAAAAATGCATATTTGTCGGCTCACATAAAGTGCAGGTAATTGGTATGGGTCGACGCAGGTAAGAATAATTAAGGAATTCATGAAACCGGAAGTCCATAGGGATTAAGCGAAAAAGGATATTTGACAAAATGTACGGCTTGGGTCATTTTTATCCACGCGCGACTGCTTATGGGTTAAGCAACGTTTCAAAATAAAACTCAAGATTGTGTAGGTCAAAAAATATATATATACATGATGAATAAAAAAATTGTTTATTGAGAGAAGGTCTGCTTATATAATTTTTTGTTACGTGTAGTTTGTTTCTTATTATTTTTATATTTAATTTTACCACAACAACGGAATCATATATAATAAATTTTTATTATTTATTTCATAACCACCGTTGTTGTCCGTTTGCGACGACTTTTTAAACAAAAGGTGTGTTATGTTTACTATCTTTTCCAAGAATTCCAAACACGATGGAGAGAATAAGGCGCACAACAGGGATCCTGTATGAAAATTCATCGGACAAAGATTTTGATTTTACCTTTTATTGTGAAAATTACATTTTTACACTATTTGTACAATTCTACCGGAAAAGCAGTCTTAAACAAGCAAAACCGGCAAAAATATTGTAACAAAACTGTCAAATTTCAAATATTTTAGACGTCAGTTGGGCGCCCTCATTCGGTCATAATGCGAACGACCATCCACGAAAACGGGTCACGAAAAACGGCGAGCTGTCTCTACCATTGATCTAATAAAGGAGTGGATGGAGCCTTGTATACGTTTCCATACGCGAGCGAGTGTAATCAACACAAGAAAGAAATAGCAAGAGTTGTTATGCATCAGTGGGAAAAGGACGGCTGACCACGTAGCACGTGCTGGGTGGCAAAAAACGCTTCATTTGAACGGGAATTAATATGTTTTCTTACGAATTTGTGCAAACAATCAATTATAACAAACGTTTGTTAATGAAAACTATATTTTTACAGTTTACATTAAAATTATGTGTAATATGAAACAACAAAAATCATGTTAAGTGGTGGAGATAGTCTTTTAATAAAATGAAATGTATACAGAATCTACAATATATTACGAATTCAGTTAATACAATAATCTTTAACAAGTTAAGTAATCTTGTAATGTATGTTCATTGGTAAATCTGAAATTTTTAGGATAAAATTAATTAAACTTTCGATAAAAGTGACAGGGTGCCTAATTAAATTAAACATATTAAATTGTGTGGAATCTTCTAGTAAAATCTATTTTCTAAATCCACGTACAAATAATTAAAACAATAATCAATGGATATAAAATTCCCTCTTTTTGTAACAACAATCCTTTTTTTTCGTAACTCGGAATGTTCAAGGAATCTTACAAAATTTTTAAATTATAATTACGAAATCCTTCGTCTCTATATGTGATTATTACCTATGAAATGAAACAGGATTGCTTTCTTTGTACGTTCTTTGCAATTATACGCACAACACGATTTCACGATCTTTAACAAATAGTCCGATAAAATACAACTTAAGAAGAGTGCAGTCATTTAAATAAGGTAACTTGAGCCTAAAAAACTTAAATTTGCAAAAATGCACCTTTAAATACCATGCGACAGCACGAAAGAAACCGCCAGAAACACAGTAGTCTGCAGTTTCGCCTCAATGTTTTGCCACCCAGAGAGCCCTATCTCTGTCCCACTGTGTTGGCAACGCGCGTCTCTCTCTAAGTTACTTCCATATAATATTATTTCTATGGTCTCTACCGATTGTTATCTCTACTGTGTTAAGACGAAGCGATTACTATGCCCTGCCGAGATGTTGCAATATCGTGCATTTGTGCATATAATCGCGAAGATTGCCAAGTACGGGTCAATGAAAATATTCACAATTTGGCAACATGCAGGACGGGCAAAGGTGTATGATACCCCGCCGAGATGATGTCAGATTGTGTTCTGAACATAGGCAACTCGTAGGTTTCGTAATTAAATGCATTTTGATAATTAATAGCGCGAAATTCTCAGATTTAAAAATGTGCTTTCATTTTGGTGGGGCATTGCCCGTTTGCCCTTCCTGCACCAGCCGCCACTGCTTGTTAGTGCTAACATTATTATAAATACGGTCTGGTAACTCAAATTTTACAGTACGAGTGAGATGTTTCAGGACGAGGCGACTGTAGGGAGCTGAGTCTTTAATTTCGAAACGAGTACTGCGAAAAGAGTTACCGGACGTATGTCGTTATGGATTTTATTTCATACTATCAACATATTTTTTTATTCGATAAAATAATTACTATTTTGAGAAAAAGTTCAAATCGAGTCATTTTTTCTGACATCGTCAGCAACCGCTGTTTGGTAAATGCTTTAATTTGTTTATTCGTGCAAATCAGCATCAAAAATGGTGTTTAAACACATAGTAAGACTTTACAGGACTTGTTCTTTTTAGCTCAATTTTACCGGACTTGTCCGTTTTTTTTTATTTTATCGGACTCCTTCGAATCCAGTAAAACGTGAAATTTGACACAGTATGAAGTAAAATAAATGTAAATAACACATTGGAAATTTTTTCTACGCTCTTATGTGCTCGCTTTTGTTACTAATAATACAAAGGAAAATGCTTTTAAATGCGTTTTCTCAAAACTTACTATATTTTTTTAGAAAATTTATTAGACTAGAGACGGACAGATATATACTAAAGACAAAACATATGCATTCATATATTTATATCTTAAAAAACGGGTAACATATGCCGCATAAAGTCAAAAATCAGACATTTTCTTTCACATTTTATGATGTAAATACAATTAAGTATATCGATAACTCGCTACTGAAAATTTATTGAAATATAATTTGTGTTAAAAAAAGGTTTTTGTGGTTTTATGGTTTATTAACATAATTTACTTATTTAAATTAAATATTTTTAATACACATACATAGCACAAGTTCTCGATATTCTTTATTTTTATTCCAAGTAATAATTGTGTTTCCTTTAGTTTGAACCAAGAAAATTTTTCGGTTATTATCTAACATACTTTTGTACATTAAGAAACTCCATTCCACGTCGCAGGACGTTACAGGACAATATTTAAATAAATAAAGAAGTCCTTTTTATGTGTTTTAAAATTCACTCTGATTTCCGAACTTTAGACTTTTTGGTGTTTCACTTCGGCACAAGAACTACTCGTATCTCAAAGAAAACAAAGAGTGGAAAAATGGAACAGCTTTAGAAACTATTCTTTTATTTGTTCTGTCTTGCAGCGAGAAAAGAATATAGCGTATTGTACCTATATTTCATAGTAAAATTGTCGATCCGGTTTAAAATTCTACCCACCTAATTAGGTAATTACGTTAACAAACTAAAATTTTCATTGAAGAGACAGACTGTTCTAGGAAACTTCACTAAATCTCTTTATTTACGAGCTATTCAAAGACCGCCGGTCTCACCGATATTTCTTACCTGGCTCCTACGAATGAAGCGAAAAATGCACAGATTGGAAATATAGTAAATGGGGTAGTATGTATGTATGCGTAATATGTCGTTAGACATTAAGTATTTTGCAAATAAAATTTATTTCATTGAAAACAGAAGCATTAAAAAACATATCTGTACAAGTTTGGTATCGATATGGCCAGTTGTTTAGAATATGCAAATATGCTTTTGTTCGTATTTACAATCATTACGAAACAGGTTATCAAATAATCTATTTTCACAAGGCTGGACCTTCAAGCGGCAGAAGAGTTAAAAACCATAAATTTTCATTGAAGAAACAAACTCTTCCAAGAAAATTTACCAAATTGTAACGCGAGGCCGCTAGATGGCGCTACCAGAGTATCACCCCCATTGGCGGAACCACCCTCGTACCTTCTTCTTCCCTGGTTCGCGGACGCGGACGGTCGTGTTTTACATTGCGTCCATATTATTTTAAAGTTTTATACATTTACTATCCGTTTTGTGAATAAAGTTTTCGTAGAAAGGAAAACTGGCGCTCCAACTCGGGCTCGAAAAGCAACCACGCGGTAACAGTTTCGGTAACTTGGTAGTGAAAGTGAAGCACTGGAGTTCGGTCTTCACGCTGCTAATACGACGGAAGGACGCGAAAACAAACGGGGAGGGAAGAAGCACTGGTACGCCTACATCTCCTAAGAAAACGTGTAGAAGCCTTAGAAGACAGAGAAGCTGGAAAGGAGAAAATTCCCAAAGAAGTAGCCATTGTGGACATTTTGGTTGTCCGCCATCTTTGACGTCAGAAGCATCACGCGCGCACGCATCCGGGTTTGGGGAATTCGGACGCGACCCTAGTGACTTTGGTTCTGTGACGTCGGCCATATTAAAAGTGCTCATCGGTCGCGCTTTTACGGTGACTTTGGGGACTTTATTTCGCGTAAGTTGTCGAACTGATTGTCAATTATTCTAACCTCTTTTCACTTTACATTGTGGATGAAAGAGGGTACAACGGCGAAGCGCTACAACCTGAGGAACAGAAGCGGAGAAATCGCAGCAACTTCGGCCCCAGTAGACGGTAAAATGACGAACCTCGTGTTTTCCCCCGAGCAGTTCAAGCAATTCTTAGAAGGCATCACGACATCACTGAAGGAGTCGAGACCAACACCGTCAGCGGGGTACTCTGGGGATGACAGTAACGCCACGACGGGTAACTTTTCTGAATGCAGGTCAAGATTCTCGGCTGCAAAAGGGGAATCGGTAGACGCATTCATCGATGCTATAACGGTGTACAAGGACTGTGTGAATATCAGTGAGGAAAACGCGTTAAAGGGACTGCCAATGCTGCTTGATGGGGCAGCCGCAACATGGTGGCAGGGCAGCAAGGCTTCGGTCAGGTCGTGGCAAGAAGCAGTCGAAGCTCTTCGAAGGAGCTTTGGGGAGCAGAAGCCTAATTATAGGATTTTCCGCGAACTGTTCTCGACCGAGCAGCGGGAAAGGGAGCCCACGGACGTCTTCGTCAGCCATGCTCGCGCTTTGCTGTCAAAACTGTCCGCAACTCCGGTCCTTGATGACATACATCGGATTGATATGGTCTATGGTTTGCTCCACCAGTCAATTAGGAAGGCAGTACCAAGAGATCAGGTTGGTACTTTTGAGCAGCTCATCAGCAAGGCCCGGCAGATCGAAGATGTGAATAACGAATCAAAGGGAGGTTTGGAGGATGAGGCACCACGTCGAAACAAGCCCAGATGCTACTACTGCAAGGCTACAGGTCACACCCAACTCGAGTGTCGGAAGTTAGCAGCTACAAATAAAGCTGAGTCAGGCCCGAGGCCCACAAGGGTCTCTCCAGATAGAATTAATCAACCCAGTGACCAGCTGATTTGCTACCGGTGCCGCAAGCCTGGCCACATCAGGTCGCAGTGTCCGAATGGCCAAAGCTCTCGAACTCAGACAACGACCAACAATGGTTTCGAGGTTTTGTCTCTGGATGTCGAGGACCAAGCTCGTAGGGCATATATACCTGTCACCATATGTGCCAAATCTGGAGTAGCAATTGTAGATTCCGGCGCAAAACGCAGCATAGCAGGTAATAAGCTGTACAATCACATGAAAAGTTCCGCTGTCCCCTTTCAGAGCATTGTCCAAGTCCTCACGATGGCGGATGGGAACCCGATTGAAGTGGCTACGGAAGTTTTCGACGTGGCCATCGAATTACATGGGAGGCAGATACACACCACCATTACTGCTGTGCCAGAGCACAGACAAAGCAAAACGCTACTGGGGATGGATTTTATCAATCAAGCTGATGTCATCCTGGACTTTCCCAAAATGAAATGGCGTTTCAGGGAAGACGGAGGGTGGAAAGATCTTTTCGATGAAGCCACCATCATGGAGGGAGTTCAAGTTTGCAGCGCGGTCGTACAACCCCTTCGGCTAGATGAGGGCACTGACCTCAGTGCAAGCGAAAGGTCACAACTGAATGGACTGCTAAATGTCTACTCAGATAGGTTCGAGGTGAATGAAGAGCCTACTCCGTATGCAGAACACTGCATTGAGCTGACAAACACCACACCCATCGCGACGAGGCCGTACAGGTTGTCGCCACAAAGAAGAGACATCCTGGAAAAGGAAATAGGTGACATGGTAGACAAAGGCGTGATAGAAGAGTGCGAATCCCCTTATGCGGCTCCGGTTGTGATGGTACCAAAGCGGGACGGTAGTTGCCGCGTATGTGTGGACTTTCGAAAACTGAATAGCGTTACGGTGCCGGACCGATACCCGCTGCCGCGTATCGACGACGTGCTCCATGCTGCCCAGGAAACGTCCTATATGAGTACGATCGATATGAAAAGTGGATTCTGGCAGGTTCCAGTGCGCGCGGAGGACCGGGACAAAACCGCGTTCGTGACACCGTTCGGTCTGTACCGGTTCGCGAGGATGCCTTTCGCATTATGTAACGCGCCGGCGACGTTCCAAAGACTTATGGACCGTTTTAGGGCGGGGCTGCATGAGGTGTTTCTCCTGGCGTACATGGACGACATCATCATTTTGTCGAATAATTTTGAAAAACACTTAAGCGATCTAGAAAAGGTGTTTCAGCGGTTGCGCAAATTCAAACTTAGTGCGAATCGGGAAAAGTGCGTGTTCGCATGCAAGCGGGTCAAGTTCCTAGGCCACATAATCACGAAAGAGGGCATTTCAGCGGATCCTGAAAAAGTCGCGGCCATTGCCGGCATGTCAGCACCAAGAAATGCCAAGGAAGTCATGTCGTTTCTGCAGACATGTAGCTGGTTTCGCCGTTTCGTTCCGGAGTTTTCGAGAGTGGCGCGACCTCTTTCAGATCTAACAAAGAAGAAGGCTACGTGGATTTGGGGCACTGAGCAAGAAGTGGCCTTCACCGACCTAAAGGAGAAACTCACAACGGCGCCCATATTACGTCAAGCCGACCCTGCACTTCCCTAGAAGGTTGAAAACCGACGCAAGTTCATACGCGTTGGGTGCATGCCTGTTGCAGGGTGAGGGCGCGGATGAGAGGCCCGTAGAATATGCGAGCCGTCTTCTGACACAGGCGGAACGTAACTACAGCACGACTGAGAGGGAAGCTCTGGCCATTGTCTACGCGGTGCAAAAGTTCCGCGGCTACCTGGAGGGCGCGAAAGTGCGGGTGGCTTCTGATCACCGGCCACTTCGTTGGCTGATGACCCTCCGTTCGCCGGCTGGGAGGCTAGCGCGGTGGGCGCTCCTATTGCAAAGCTATGATTTGACGATTGATTATATTCCAGGCAGGAGCAATGTGGTCGCCGATACGTTATCACGACCACCAGGTGTCGACGAAGCCCTACAAGCCTGCCTCGTTAGCGTCGACTTACCCACCGCTTCTCAACGAGGTATCCGGGACGAGCAGCTGGAGGACCCAGACGTGGCAAACGTCATTTCTGCCTTCGAAAGTGTTGACGGCGACCTGTCACGGTGGACCGACAGGGGGTACACTATGAGTGATGGAGTGCTCTACCGCTACTCCCCGGATGAGGAAGCAGATGAACCGCAACTGGTGGTGCCTCAGTCAAGGGTTGTTGAGATATTGAGGGAGTTTCATGACTCGCCCATGGCGGGCCACCCAGGTGTAGAGAGGACGCTCGCGAAGATGTCGCAGAGGTATTACTGGTCCACCATGCGTCGCGACGTCCGGAAGCATGTGCAGCAATGCCTGGAGTGTCAGCGCTATAAATGCAGCAACCTGAAACCTGCAGGTTTGCTGAGGACGCCGGTCATGGCCCAGCGCTTCGAGGTCCTGGCGATGGATCTCTTCGGACCGCTGCCACCCACCGACCAGGGGGAGAAATGGGTGTTCGCAATCGAAGACACCGCCACCAGGTGGGTCGAACTTTTCGCGCTGAAGAAAGCAACTGCCGAAGCATGTGCGAAATGCTTGGTGGATGAGGTAATCTTGCGATACGGCACGCGGCGGAGGGTTATCAGCGACAATGGTCCGCAGTTCGTGAGCGACATCTTGCAAAAGGTGTCGTACTGCCTCGGGTTCGAGCAGAACCTGACTCCTGTGTATCACCCGTCGTCCAACCCGGAGGAAAGAAGAAACCGCGATTTGAAGACACAGCTGGCGATAATCGTGGAAAAGGAGCATACAAAGTGGAGTACTGCTTTGCCCGCAGTGCGCTTCGCGATGAACAGTGCTCTCCATTTAGGTGTCGGTCAAAGCCCCGCGTACTTGTGCTTTGATCGCGAATTAAGGACACCCCTGGAGGTGCATGATGACCTGCGTGCGGTGGTCGAGAGTGAGAACTTTGTCGCGGAAATAACTCCGTATTTGCAGACAATTTCCGAAACACTAAAGTGCGCGCGCGAAACTTCCGAAAGGAACCAGGACCGCGCCAAACTTTACGCGGACCCAAAACGTCGGCCCGGTCCCACTTACAAGAAGGGCGACCGTGTGCTCGTTGATGTACATGCCCTGAGCAAGGCCGACAGCCGCTATAGCAGCAAATTCGCCCCGAGACGTGATGGTCCGTACGTGATCATCGAGGAGGTATCCCCGGTCACCTACGTCGTGGCCTCACCTAACAAACTGGACGAACCCCTGGGGAAGTATCACACTTCAGCCCTGCGCCCCTTCGAAGAAGGTGCCCGTGAGTCAGTTACACCGCTGGTGCCCCTCAGAAGACGTGGACGTCCAAGGAAGAGCACTGAGGAAGAACCTGAAGAGGTCCCGTCCCCGGAGTCGCCACAGAATACAATAGAGCCTACGCCTTCCCAGCCTGGAACGCACCGCCGCCGTCGGGGTAGGAAAACTTGCTCGGCGCCGTGCTGCCGCTAACTTTGTTATAGGTTTTGGATTCCTCCTGGGGCAGTGAGCGGAATCCAAAGGGGGAGTGTAACGCGAGGCCGCTAGATGGCGCTACCAGAGTATCACCCCCATTGGCGGAACCACCCTCGTACCTTCTTCTTCCCTGGTTCGCGGACGCGGACGGTCGTGTTTTACATTGCGTCCATATTATTTTAAAGTTTTATACATTTACTATCCGTTTTGTGAATAAAGTTTTCGTAGAAAGAAAAGTGTTTTCCTGGTCGTGGCGAAAAGTAATCGTCGCGTAACAAAATCTTTTAGTTTACGCACTATTGGACGAGCACTCCTTAAAACGGTCAGTATACCTAATCGCATTATTGCATTTAGAAGGTTCTGGTAAATAAATGGGATTATTATAATGAACAAATAAAACAAATAAATTATGATTATTATTTGTTGTTTTAATCCATTAGACGCTTATAGGCTTATAAGCATACTTTTCTTGAAAAATCGGTAATAAATTCAGTGAAGCATCTTTGTGCCTTAATTACTCTTGGTAAATTGGGATTTTGAATAGAGGTTGCAGGAAAATTTTGTATGGTTTTATGGTTTATTTACATAATTTTCTTATTTACAAAGAATGTTTTTAATATATAATACAAGTTCTTGATATTATTTATTTTAATTACATTTAATAAACCATAAAACCACAAAAATTTTTTTTAACACAAATTAGAAATTATATTTCAATAAATTTTCAGTTGCGAGTTATCGATATACTTAATTGTATTTACATCATAAAATTTATTTATTTTACTTCATACTATGTCAAGTTTGACGTTTTACTGGATTCGAACGATTCCGGTAAAATCAAAAAAACGGACAAGTCCGATAAAATTGAGCCAAAAAGGACAAGTGTTCCATTTCCGGAAGCGGCCACTGACCCTTTTGGGTCTCTTTTGCTTTACCTGTTATTGTAAATACAAATGTAAATTTAGTACTTCTGTAACCGTCCTGTATTAAACATCGAAACCGAACGCTGTCTATTATTTCGCACGCAACAAAACAAAGGTCCTTCGAGCAATATCAAAGTACAATTCGTTATTACATTGTCGTATCAACCAGATTACAAAAAACACTGGTAGGACGAGCCGAGTTGCACAAACATTGGTCCTTCGAGACGGATTGCACAAAACATTGGTCCATCGAGTCGGATTATACAAAACAATAAGTCCTGTAACGTGTTATACTATGTGTTTAAACATATGATGCTGACTTGCACGAATAAACAAATTAAAAACATTTGCCAAACAGCGGTTGCTAACGATGTCACAAAAAGTTACTCGATTTGAACTTTTTCTCAAAATAGTAATAATTTTATCGAATAAAAAAATATGTTGACAGTATGAAATAAAATCCATAACGACAAACGTCCGGTAACTCTTTTCGCAGTACTCGTTTCGAAATTAAAGACTCGGCTATCTACTCGTCCTGAAACATCCCACTCGTACTGTAAAATTTGAGCTATTTAGAATAACTTTAATAACTAACATATAGATAGACCCATGCTATTGTTTGGAGCGAACAGGCCAACGGCCGGCGAACAAGAGATGGCGCACCAACAGTCGGCCGTCAAACGCCGGCGAAAAGCTTGGACACCAATCGCGCGCGTAGATAACCCAAATCACAGCAACAATACATTTAATAAAGCTACCACTCGACAGAGGGCGACGAAAAAAATGTGTAAAAATCTCACAGTAAGCATTTATATAATTTACAACGTTACCAGATGAGCCTAACACAACTTTGCCGTTATTTCTAGTCGAATAGATTTTATTTCGTTTAAAAGTTTCTGGTGAATAAATGGAATTATTATAATGAATAAACAATACAAACAAATTATTACTTGTTATTTTAAATACTTGTTAGTGTTGATGAAAACATAAATGGTAATTAAAGTTATTCTAAATACGGTCCGGTCCGGTAGCTCAAATTTTACAGTACGAGTGGTATGTTTCAGGACGACTAGGTAGCCGAGTCTTTAATTTCGAAACGAGTACTGCGAAAAGAGTTACCGGACGTATGTTGTTATGTATTTTATTTCATACTGTCAACATACTTTTTTATTCGATAAAATTATTATTATTTTGAGAAAAAATCCAAATCGAGTCACTTTTTCTGACATCGTTAGCAACCGCTCTTTGGTAAATGTTTTAATTTGTTTATTCGTGCAAATCAGCATCATATGTTTAAACAGATAGTACTTATAACACTTTACAGGACTTATTGTTTTGTATAATCCGACTCGATGGACGAATGTTTTGTGCAATCCGTCTCGAAGGACCAATGTTTGTGCAACTCGGCTCGTCCTACCAGTATTTTTTGTAATCTGGTTGATACGACAATGTGATACCGAATTGTACTTTGATATTGCTCCAAGGACCTTTGTTTTCTTGCGTGTGAGATAATAGACAGCGTTCGGTTTCGATGTTTAATACAGGACGGTTACAGAAGTACTAAATTTACATTTGTATTTACAATAACAGGTAAAGCAAAAGAGACCCAAAAGGGTCAGTGGCCGCTTCCGGAAATGGAACACTTGTCCTTTTTGCTCAATTTTATCGGACTTGTCCGTTTTTTTGATTTTACCGGAATCGTTCGATCCAGTAAAACGTCAAACTTGACATAGTATGAAGTAAAATAAATAAATTTTATGATGTAAATACAATTAAGTATATCGATAATTCGCTACTGAAAATTTATTGAAATATAGTTTGTGTTAAAAAAAGATTTTTGTGGTTTTATGGTTTATTAAATGTAATTAAAATAAATAATATCAAGAACTTGTATTATATGTTAAAAACATTCATTGTGAATAAAAAAATTATGTAAATAAACCATAAATCCATACAAAATTTTCCTGCGACCTCTATTCAAAATCCCAGTTTACCAATAGGAATTAAGGCACAAAGATGTTTCACTGAATTTATTACCGATTTTTCAAGAAAAGTATGCTTATAAGCCTATGAACGTCTAATGGATTAAAACAACAAATAATAATCACAATTTATTTGTTTTATGTGTTCATTATAATAATCCCATTTATTTACCAGAAACTTCTAAATGAAATAATATCTGGTTGACGAGAAATATCCGCAAATTTGTGTTAGGCTCATCTGGCAACGTTTTCGGTAGGTAGGTATCAATGGAATAATGCGATTATGTATACTGACCGTTTTAAGGAGTGCTCGTCCAATAGTGCGTAGACTAAAAGATTTGGTAAATTTTCTTGGAAGAGTTTGTTTCTTCAATTAAAATTTATGGTTTTTAACTCTTCGGCCGCTTGAAAGTCTCGCCATGTGAAAATAGATTATTTGATAACCTGTTTCGTAATAATTGTAAATACGAACAAAAGCATATTTGCATATTCTAAACAACTGGCCA